ATGACAGGGAGAGGGGAGGAAATGGAGGAAAGGGAAGTATTTGGACAGAGAGAATAGGATTGAGAGAGAGAGAGAGAGAGAACAAAGAGGAAGAATGGGAGGAGATAAGAATGAAAGGGTAAGAGAGGGGATGAGGGATAGTGTGGAATGGATAGGGATTAAGGGATGAGGGGAGAGAAGAACATGAAGAAGTGCAGGTGGGGAGGGTGGGGGAGGGAGGGTGGGGAGGGGAGGGGAGGTAGTTGGACACGTAGATAGGGTGAGGCTTCATAGAGGGTGTGGCTGTATAGAGGGTGTGGCTTCATAGAGGGTGTGGCTGTATAAAGGGTGTGGTGGCTGTATACAAGGTGTGACAACATATAAAAGTATGTGGTTACGAGTATATACGTTCAGGCGTGGCTTTACAGACTTTATGGAGGGTGTGGCTTAAAGAAGGGTGTGGTTAGGAGTTTATAACACCATATAATATATAAAAGGGTGTGGCTAATATAGGAGGGAGTGGCAACTGCTGCGACAAGACCATCTTGCACATGAAACTCCTCAACTTGGTGTATACAACGAAGACCCAGCATGTCCCTCCCGCCCTTCCCTCCACACACCCTCACTCCCTCCTTCCCTCCACACGCCCCTCTCCACTCACTCCCTCCACTCCTTCCTCCTCGCTCCCAAACTCTGGCTCCGTCTCCACGACACCTCCACTCAACTTGCCTGACTCAAGTTAGCTGTGTCGCCGCGGCTCTAACTTGCAGCCTTTCTTCCCGTAGTGAGGAGGACGTGTGGCTTCCCTCAAAGTACCTTACTCACTCACTCACTGATTGACTGGTTGACTGATGGGTTAACTGGCTGACTGGTTGATTGATTGGTTGACTGGTTAATTCACTGATTGGTTGACTCACTGACTGACTGACTGATTAATTGACTACTTATTTGATAGTTAACTCTCTCTCTCTCTCTCTCTCTCTCTCTCTCTCTCTCTCTCTCTCTCTCTCTCTCTCTCTCACACCTCTCTCACACCTCTCTCTCCTCCCTCTCACCCCCTCACCTACCTCCCTCACTCTTCTTCTCCATAAAACAAACATTCTCAGTCACCCTCGAAGTCGACTTTGATTCGCTCCTGAGAGACTATGCGGCGCCTGACGGAGGGAGTAGGTCCTGCCACGCCTCCCGCTTGACGTGTTGTGAAGACTGTGAGGTGATGGAAAACGTTGGAATGTTTCACCCTTAGATATACATAGAGATAGAGTTGATATTCTGTGATATATTTGTTGTTGTGTTTTCAAGGCGTTTAACCGTTTGAGAATGATGGTTTAAACCCTTTGAGGATGATGGTTTAACCCTTTGAGGATGATGGTTTAACCCTTTGAGGATGATGGTTTAACCCTTTTGCGGGTGATGGTGTAACCCTTTGAGGATGATGGTTTAGAAGGAGTTAGGGTGGATAGGTAGGTAGGTAAGGGTGAGGGAGAGTCAGGGTAGGTAGGTAGGTAAGGGTGAGAGAGAGAGAGTCAAGGCAAGGGAGGGGGAGAGATATTAAATTATTAATATGTTGTTCATGCATAGCGACGTTGCGAGGGGGTTCAGGGCTGTGTGTGTGTGTGTGTGTGTGTGTGTGTGTGTGTGTGTGTGTGTGTGTGTGTGTGTGTGTGTATGTGTGTGTGTGTGTGTGTGTGTGTGTGTGTGTGTGTGTGTGTGTGTGTGTGTCTCTACATGACACAAGACACCATCAGGAGAGAAAAAATAGCTCGCTTCGGAAATACTAGAGTGAGTGGAGGAATGGGGAAGAGACGAGGGAGGGAGGGAAGGAAGGAAGGAATGAGATGGAGGGCAGAAAGGGGGAGAATGAGGAGGAGGAAAGGAGAGGGTTAAGGGGCGAGAATAAGGAGGAGGAGGAAGGGGGGTTAACGGGGAGAATGAGGAAATTAAGAAGGAGGACGGTGAGGGGAAGGGGGAAGACAAGGAGTAAGGGTTAAAGAAGAGAACAAAAACGAGTAGTAGGGGAGAAGGAGGAGGACGGGGGAGGTAAGGAGAGGAAAA